ACCTCTGCGGATAATTCAGCTCCCAGTAAAAACTTCCTGAACAATGAACACTAACTAACACTAACTTCTAACAGGGAGAAGTTTTATCTGGTTACAATCTGCAAGCCTAACCAGTAGATGCCACTAAAACCCCCTAAATCTCACACACTGATCCTGGATCCTTGGACCTTGTTTTTGTGCTTTTATCAATTATTTCTCTTATGAATAGTAACATTGTATCTCCAAAAGTAGATCCTGAGATCTGGGAACACGGCAACATTGCAAAAAATAAACCCGACAGGGAAATTACTTTAGTGAGTACAATGTAATCAAAATAATAAAAATAAAACCAAAGTTGACATAAATTGTTTTAATGCTGTTTCTAAGTCATTCACTTCACATTCACTTTCATTCATTTAAGAGAGAGGCAGCTACATAGCACCCACAGTAATAGAGCTAACTGCCAACTCCTAAACATGACCAGAAAAAAAGAGAAAGATTCATACTTTCCAAGAGGTTTTACAGAGAGGTTAAAGTGAAAAAGATTCAAACAGAAAAATACAACCATAAAAGGAAATCCTGATATCACTTATCATGTTATAGCCCTAACATTAGTATTTGTACTGTACAATACAGCAGTGTAATATTGTACATACATGTTACTTTGTACACCAGTGCACCTGCACTTAAAATCAGTTTGTCAAGTCCACATTTTGAGTTTGGGACAATACCAGTCGAGTAATTCCACTGTGTCAAAGTAAAAAGTATGTGAGTATGCATTCGCATTAACATATTGAATGCAGTGTTGGAAAGACCCACAGTTGTGATCCGTGTCTAAGTGAAACAGTAAGAGAAAATCCAGTGCTTCCATTACAGACTTCTCATAGAGGCAGTGGGACACACATCCAGCTGTGTTTGTCTTTGCAGTTGTTGTCATTCCTTCACCAGGTGGAGACAGAACACCACACTGAGGCTAATGAAGTGGGCAGAGTTCAAACAAACACAGGGCATCTAATTTTAAGTGATTAGGTTTTGTTTTCAAAGGAGTCTGTGTGGTTTAATTCACACAGCCATGTTACGATTACACACTTAAATAAGTTCAATGGCAACTTTTTTGGAACAGCTTTCTGAGAACTGTTTCAGATATTTCTGCCTCTACAATAATACAATGGAGGAGATTGGAATAAAGAAACCATGTCCCTGTTGCACTTACGCACTTATGGTCAGGAAAACATCATGTTTTGACTTCAAATACCCATGTTTGGTGGCACAAAAGCCACTGGGAAATGCCATGATGCGTTAATAAAAAAAATGCCCAGGTTCAGTGGCTCAAACCCTGATGACAAATGTCCAGATGCGACAGTGAAAAACACCCAGGTTTTGTGGCTCAAATGCCATTTGAAAATGCCACAATGTGTCAGTGAAAAACGCCCAGGTTTGGTGGCTCCAACCCTGCTGGGAAACGTCCTGCTTCGTCTGTGAAAAATGCCCAGATTTGGTGGCTCAAATGCCACTGAAATAAGCCACCCTGTGTCAGTGACAGACTCAAGTCCAGTGGCTGAAACATCACAGGAAAATGCTGCAATTTGTCAGTGATGAAGGCCCAGGTCCAGTGGCTCAAATGCTACTAAAAACATCCTGATGCATTGGTGAAAAACACCAAGGTTTGGTGGTTCAAACCCCGCTGGGAAACATCTTGATGTATCAGTGAGAAACGCCAAGGTTTGGTGGCTCAAACCCCGCAGGGTAACGCCAAGACTTGCTGGTGAAAAAATGCCCAGGTCTGGTGGCTCAATCCCAGCTGGGAAATGCCCAGATTTGTTGGGGAAAAATGCCTAGGTTGGGTGGTTCAAACCCTGTTTGCAAACGGCCAGATTCATTGGTGAAAAATGCAGAGGTTTGATGGCTCAAACCTCCACTGAGAAATGCCACAATATGTCGGTGATGAAGGCCCAGTTCCAATGGCTCCAACGCAACTGAGAAACATGCATTAGTGAAAAATGCCCAGGTTTGGTGGCCCAAACCCTGCCGGGAAACGTCCCAATGTGTCTGTGAAAAATGCTCAGGTTTGGTGGCTCAAATGCCACTGGGAAATGCCACAATGTGTCGGTGATGACGGCCCAGGTCCAGTCGCTTACACCCCGCAGGGAAATACCACAACGTGCTGTTGATGAATGCCCAGGTCCAGTGGATAAACCACTGGGAAACATCCTGATGCATTTGTGAAAAATGCCCAGGTTTGGTAGCTCAAACCCGCTAGGAAACGCAGTGAAGGGTTGACAAAAAACAACTGGTGTTGCTGTTGATCAGTCTCTGACAGTAGACTGCAGCTTGGCAGCAGTCTTGTCTGGGTGTCTATTCCCACCATCCTCTCCACCTCCCGATGACAACATCAGCTCATATGTTCCATCACTTTGGAAACATTGAATGTAACAAATCTGTGGTTTGCAGAAATGTAGAATGCCAACATTTTCTTCTGGAGACTGGGCTGTAGCATGCTATGGTTAGCATTTAGCTCAAGGGAGGTGGACATTTATGGCTGATTTGCATGTTTCCTTTAAATGTTGTGAGAAATGAATGAATGAGATTCCATTGTATTGTGGTAGAGGTAACAATCCCAGCACCAAATATCTCAAAACAAATTAAATCAACCAATTAACTAGCTTTTTCTGAAGCTTTTATCCACGTCACATGGTCTGCATCAGCAGATCAAGTCTGCAAAACCCATCAATCGATCACACAATCTGGAATGTGATATGGCTGAAAGATTTGGAGAAAGCTAGAAAATAAGTAATAAGAATTAACTGTTCTCTCCCACAGCTTTATATTGGCTTCTTATTCAAAGAAGTGACTCTGTTTGACAGCCAGTGTGCATCCAGCCACAATCAAAGTGTTGTGGTGAAGGGTCCTTAAGCAAGACAGTGAACCCTTGACTTGCTGCTCATACTGTAAATCCATCTGAATGAGTCAAATGTATAAATCAGATTCTCTCTTTTTTTGCTTAATAAGTTTGGCTTTCATCCTTGAAACAATAACAGCTAAGAGTCAGAAAATCAGTTACAGTCAGTTAAATATCTGCCCATAGTTTCTCAAGATGAGTCTAGGTCTTTTCAGTGCAGTGGCTCAACTCATGAATGTGGAATGTTTCAGTTGAAAATATCTGTAAAACTGGATTCTACTGAAAAACATGTTATGCCTCATGTTGTCATCTTTTTCAAATATCTCTATAGATCTGCACAAAATGAAATGATTGGCTTTAAAATTCTGGACAAAATCAGAAATAATTTCTCATTAATATGAACAAAGAATTATTACTTCCTGCCTTTAATTATGTGATAAAATGTTATACTTATGACTTAGTATCTCATAATAAAACCTTAACTCAGAATTATGAGATACATTAAGTCAGAGTTCTCTAATAATGTCATAAAATATCATAATCTTCCTTTGTAGGTCATAAATGATTACTATAATATACTACATGACACTTGTTAGATATTATCACATAATTAGATAATAACTCATAATTACTGTAAAAGTAATAAATTACAAGTTACGAAATAAAGTTTTTTTCTTACAGTTTAGGGTGATCCACTATAAAAAATCTGCACAATTCTGTGGAATATTTTTTTGTTTTGTTTTGTTTTTGCTTGTAATGTGACAGACAATATTCATTAAAAATTGAAAAAAAAAAGAATTTCAGAATCTGTATAGTTAAAAGAAATTTCCCATGATTATGACATACTAAATCAGGGGGGTCCAAACTTTTTTGAATGGGGGCCAGATAAAACACTGTGAAAATACCTGGGGGCCAACTGATTCTCGCATCAAATGGGTTTTAAAAAAGTGAGACAAATGCAACCATTTTTATCTCTTAATGAACTATTACTACTTGATGCCTGTCTACAAACTGTATGATAATCCTATTATTGTGAGGTAAAGGGTAAAAATGTGAAGTGATCTTGCTCGATTAACCATTATTGTGTAAAGGGCCACATATGGTATATTCTGAAAGTCAAGCTGAGAGCCGATTAAAATTGGTCTGCGGGCCACAATTGGCCCCCGGGCCAGACTTTGGACATGCCTGCACTAAATCATAATTGTGAGATAATACATAATAATTATAGGGAAAAACACATTTCACAATGAAAAAAAAAAATCATATTGTTATTTTCAAGTAGCTGAAATGGGCTTCCATAGATCTTTGCCTTTCCAAAATAAAGGTTGTGATTTAACCAAGGCACTTTCATTACCACACCACAAGATGGCAGTATGTGCTTTTTTGCTGTAGTTCTCATTTTTCATTAAAGCAACACAATGGAGGATTGAGATTTTTACCTCATGGGGTCCCCCCCTACAGACGAAAAACTGTATTGTCTGTTACGACTGTCGCAAAAAACTTTCTGAGCGTGCATTTGTTGACAAGACAACGATACCGGTGAACTTCCTGAAGCTGGCCGTGTAATGCGCTATCATCATGTCTTCAGAACAGGTAAAGTAGCCTTATAGCATTTTGTACATACATGATTAGGCCAATTGCTTTATTTATTCATTCATTTTTGAAACTCATAAATGAGTTGCTCTCTGCATGTCAGGGCTGACCTCCTTCTCACAGCGTGCACGCACACACACACACACACACACACACACACACACACAAACTCAACAGAGTGAAGTCAGACAACAGCAGAGAGGCCGCAGTGCAGATGAAGGGAATATAACTTGATTACTTGATTGATTGATGATTACTCTAGTTGACTATAAGTACGCTTGTTACTGCAAGTAAGTGCAATAAAACCTCTGCCAGCCAAGCCAATACTTTAACAATACATGTGATCAGCATGTAGAAAGCCATATTTCAATCTGCTCTGTCCGCAGTCTCTCATTTACCACTACGATTTACAATCGCGGTCGACACAAGCACATCGCACTCGCAGTGCTAACAGCAAACTGTTAAAGACAAATTAAAATGAAAGCTGTCTGTATGTAGGCTAACACTTTATCTTAAAATGTACCTGAGACAGCCGACCTGCAGACAGTGAGTCTCTTAAGTAGAGGGTAACAGCAGTAACAGCGCCAGGTCACCATCAGTCGGGTATCCCTCCTCCTCTTTCAGCTCTCACCAGCGTGTAAAAGCTGGGCCAATATTAATCCTTGTTCGAGCTCTTGTTTTATCGCTCTCCTGTTTTCTTTTCTTTGTCTCCTCGGACAACACTTTCACCTTCTTCCTTTTCTTTGTCGCTTCAGCCTTGCCAACCACGTCTAACTTCGTTCACCTCGGTTCGGCTACTCTACTCTAAAGAGAGGAAGGGGATATGATGTATGCCGTAAAGCAGCCAAATTTGGTAGTACTTTTTGTGTCTGGGTTCCTACCCGAACCCCGAAACTGCATAGTGTCAGAGCAAGCAAAACAGACGTTCTCAAGCAATGACGGAGGTGTCATCCAACCTATTGTGAGTTTATGTACCATCACAAGGATCTTGGATATATATTTTGAGGGCTAAAAAACTCAATTGTGTTGCTTTAAATTACTTGATACCATCGGAGCATTTCACACTTGACTTTATATATAGTTTGGTTTAGAGCTCCACTGGTTTTTAGATTGGTTTCTTTCACTCTCGTAATTGTCCTTATTTGTTTGCTGTATCCATAATTCTATCCTTAAACTATCAATTGTGCCTGTGTCATATAAATGGAAACTGACTATATGTCTTCTTGACTATATGGTATTCATTTTGTTATCACTTCTGAACAAATCATTTGACCATTTAATCCAAAATCACTGATATGGAGCTCTGTGAGACATGTTAGGCAATGTACATGTGTCATTAATGAAAAACAAATAAAAAGATTTACAACCTGAAAATGCAATGATGAACTCTTGAGACTGGGGGACAGAAAAAACGAAACAAAAGAAAAAAACTTGTTTTGTTACGGGAAGGTCGCTGGTTAGATTCCACAATTTGGATGGAAGGGCAGAGGGGGATGTCTTTGAGCAAGGCTTCTAACCCCTGTACCAGAAGACTGTGGCTATTGTGGGAAAATAGAAAGAAGCATGCAGGCTCATCAAACCATTCCTAGCTAAAACCTAAACATAAAACAATCAAGATGGGTCTGGTACGCATCTCAGGTCATGGGTATAAAATGCTTGATAAAAAAACAAAAAAAAAGAAGAAAAAGAAAAAGAAAAAAGTCAGATCTTGCTGTTCTCCAAGTGGGAGTCGATATGTTTGATGAGAGCGTCATCAGGGTAACCAGTTGGGAAGGTCAGCTGACACAGAGGACAGCTACGAACAGCACTTTCTTCTGACTCCATCCATAGCTACAGACAGAGAAAGACACAGTATAGTAGTATAGTAATAGTTGAACCTCAAGTTATGAAAAAAAAAAAAAAAATCCAGTCGTAATAGGGATGCACTTGTTGATTGCCATCAGCCTATTGGCAAATAAGATGACATACACCAGTGGCAGAGGCCACTGATTTTCTGTCATGTCACATCAATTTTGTATAGGTTAAAAAGCAGGGCTCGAGAGTTACAGCATCCTGTTGTCCCAGGTATGGTTTATGGATGAAAGAATGCAGGGAACTTGCTATTGATTCATCAGAGGACACATCATTTTTTCCCTGATAGTGCTACATTGTGAACAACAAATCTGTGTTGACATCAGCTGGAAGAGAGCTAGTTAATGTTAGCTGTTAACAGCTGTAGCTGGAACAAACAGCTTTTACAAGTTGCACTGTTACATTATGATTACATCTATTCACTAAAAAGTATTGGGGAGAGGTAAATATTACTGTTATTATGAAGTGTTCAAGTGTAGTCTCAAACTTTGTTTCTGGAGAGAAAATTGAATAATGCAGATGTTTGAAATAGTATAACTTTAACCTTTGCTGATGTTTTCATAGAAATATAAAATAGATATTAGAGAGGGCATTATGATATATATAGTGAGAAGGCTTTTTTTCTGAAAAAGACATTATTGTAAAGTAAGAAAGGTTAAATTGATGACTGTTTCATAAATTTTATATAGTTTAAATTGTGCTCATTCAAAAATAGTGTAATTAAAGGGCTGGATGACTTTTAAACAGTTCAGTTTTTTATAAACTATAAACTACATTCAAGAGGGCAAGATCTGCATTCTATCATTTGTCTCCTGCAAAAGCTGCCTCAGTATGTCACTCCTCTTCTCAAACTGGAAACCAATGCTCACCAGACCAGATCTTAGCACTGTCTAACATTAAACTCCCCTCAGGTAAATACTGAACTGAAATAAACCTCTCTTATGTCTGGTTAGGGCATAGCTTCAGATCCTATGCATTTTGACAGTGTAGCTATGTTGTTGCTGATGTCACATGGAGACAGCAAGAACTGTGATTGGTAAGCTTGGGCTGCTTTTGATTTTTCCTTTGCAATGCTGTTCGAAATGCAACATAAAGCAAGTTTTAGAAAGGTTCATTGATCTTACTTTCATTGGCACAGATCTAACAAAGCCATTATTACTCAGCACAATTGTCACTCAGTATCGCAGTGAATGAAAAAATATATATACAAAATTACTCTGGGTATTAAATGCCCAGTAGCAGTCTCTATTTCCTAGCTAGACTGGTTTAACCACACAGCCTGACACCGTGTTTATGTCAGCCAAGTTCCTGTTGATAAGAAGGTCATTTTGTTTGGCCTTGACCATCAGTAGCGAGTGATGTATTTGTCTCGCCCATGTCATTTACAGCCAACACAGATCCTGTAGTAGAGGTTGGTCGGAACAGTTAGCTTAATGTTTTTCAAACTGATCAAAAAACATGTCAATTTAAGAGTTGTTTCTGTACATGAATTTACAACAACTTATACAGCTTCTTGATATCATTTACACTTGCCATTTTTAATAGGATGTCCCCATTTTGACATTTTGACAAATTAAGGGAAAAATACTTTTTTATATACAGCCACTAGTCAATGGAACAAGCTGTCTGTCTTGCTTAAGTTAAACTTAGTTGAGAGGAGTTTTAAATCAAGAAATGGTTGCTAAATAATTTGTAGATTCACAAATGTAGGGTTTCATGTGACATCATCAATGTTTTTTTGTATTGTTTTTGCCACTGTCTAATGTCATTAATGTTTTTAGTGTTTGTAGTTGTTTTTATTGTCTGCTTGTTATCTGTAACTGTAAGTCTTTATATATTTTAAACTTTACATTCACCTGTCAGTGGTCAGAAAACAAAATAATAAATAAATGCTAATGTTTTCTGGTGCACCTGTAAACATGTAGGTGTCTCTTACATTATAAGGTGATAATACAGTATGTCAGTGTTGTGTGTACAGACTTGTCTTCCCTTACTGGTCAGACAGTGAAAAATTTTTTAAAGGGATAGTGCACCAAAAAATGAAAATTCAGCCATTATCTACTCACCCATATGCCGACGGAGGCCCTGGTGAAGTTTTAGAGTCCTCACATCCCTTGCGGAGATCGACGGGGGGAACGGGCAGCACACCTAATGGCTGACGGCGCCCCAGACTAACGTCCAAGAACACAAAATTGAATCCACAAAGTTTCTTCATACTGTTCATCCGTAGTGATCCAAGTGTGCTGCAGCCGCGACATAAAAAGTTGTTTCGAAAAACGTCATATGAACTCTCTTTTTAGCCTCACTGTAGCCTGTAGCTCTGACTGCTTCTCTGTGCTCCGTGTTCACGTGTGCACGCTCAGGGTGATCGGTGATGCACGGTCTCTGAAGAGCAACACTCTCGTCAGTACTGATGTCCAGATTCTCAAGTGCAGGCATCGCCATCGCATTTGAAACAACTACACCACCAGGTTTCCAGTGCTCGACTCCAGTATTCTGCGGCTGGCTGAGAGTTAGGCTCATGAGCTGCGGCGGCTGCTTCATCCAGTAGCCTGAGTTCTGTCCGTATACTCAGGCTCAAAGAAATACGGCTCAACAAAGAAATGCTGTTCCTCCACAACTGCAAAGTCTTCAGACATGTTGGGCTGTCCTTTGCTAAAAGACCGTAGTGCAAATTATCTTTTAGCGACTGTGGCTCCCGTTGTCTCCCCCTGTCACGTGATGTAAACACGGGTGAGCAAAGCTCACGCTTTCGCTGGTCTCGCGCAGGCACGCCCACGTGAATGCGGAGCACAGAGAAGCAGTCAGAGCTACAGGCTACAGTGAGGCTAAAAACAAAGTTCATATGACATTTCTCGAAACAACTTTTTATGTCGGGGCTTCAGCACACTTGGATCACTACGGATGAGCAGTATGGAGATATTTGTGGATTCAATTTTGTGTTCTTGGACGTTAGTCTGGGGCGCCGTCTGCCATTAGGTGTGCTATCCGCTCCGCCCGCCGATCTCCGCAAGGGATGTGATCACTCTAAAACTTCACCAGGGCCTCCCTCGGCATATGGGTGAGTAGAGAATGGCTGAATTTTCATTTTTGGGTGCACTATCCCTTTAAATCAAAAGAAATTAAAATTTTTCTGTTTTCAAATTGCCCACTCTTTTTTTTTTCAAGTAGGAGCGTCATATTTTATGTATTTATTTCTCATATTTCTCAACACAAAATTATTTTTTTCTGCCTTGAAGTCCTGTAGATAGTATGCTATTTCAGTGCCCAAGCAATAAACAGGACAGTGCCATGGTGTCTGGTCCTCTCATTTTTGCATTTAACATCTTCTGGCTGCTGTAATCAGACTCTGTAAGTTGCTTTATGTAATTGTCATCATTGTCTTCTACTCACGTTAATGGAGGGCCATGACTGAGCATGCTCAGTGTTCATATAGGGAGGCAGATGGCAAGAGAGGGTGGCAGGGCCCTCGGGGGATGAGAAGGAGGGATGGTGGGGCTGTTTCCTTGGAGACGGGAATGAGGGGTGTAGAGGCTGTTCCCTAGGCGATGATGAGCCAATCCCAATTGCGCCAAGTGTCCGAGGCGGGCTGGCAGCCGGCGATAGATATGTACATACATCCTGTAAATTTACAACACACACATATCTTTCTAATGAAAAACCCAGTGTTAATGCCATGATAAGAGCCACATACATTGTTATCATTGTCATCACCTCTTCATCATCAGAGGACTGTGGTGGTGTCACCAGTGGGGTGGGTTCAGGCGGGTTATCAAGGCGACGAAAGTGATGTATCTGAATGAGAGGAGGGACGGGGGTAAGCATGGTGATTACTATTGCTGTGTGTGTGTGTGTGTGTGTGTGTGTGTGTGTGTGTGTGTGTGCGCGCGCGCGTGCATGCGTGCGTGTGTGCGTGCGTGCTGTAATAGTCGAATATATGAAATGTGCCTTTAACATGGTGTATACTGTGTTGCTTAACAGCAACGTCATCAAGCAGCGCTTGTTATGATTTGAGTCTGTTGAAAGCGCACCCAACGCTGGTCGGACGGATACCTATGTGCTCCTGCTTTTTCTTTTGTCTCTCAACACAACAGTGATGGTTGAAGTACGTGTAGCAACTATTCTGTTCATATATGAAAAGGTAGTAGCCGTACAACCAGGCTTGGTAAGGTTGGAGTGTTTTTTAAGTTGATGTAAAAATAAACTATAAGCATTTGTGAAATCCCACACGCGTGTGGAAGTGAGTTTCTGCCTGTCGTCTCACTCCAAAGAGCTACACAGACCCAAAACCATTACAGCGTGTGTGTTTCTGCATATGTAGTGTTCTTTGCAGTATTGGGCAAGCTACTTGAAAAATGTAGTGAGCTAAGCTACCAGTTACGCTACATCAGAATTAACTTTCAGTACATTGGAGCTATCTCCAGAGAAATGTAGCAAGCTACGCTACAAGAAAATGGCAAAGGTAGCTACTTGCAAAGCTACTTTTATTCTTTTTATTTTATGTCAAATTAGCATTATCTAAGTGATCAGAAAAACTGTCAGCCAAAAAAATGGGCAAGCAAAAAATGTTCAGTTGAACTGTTTATTATAGATTTCTCAATTCTTTTTCAATTTCTCAATTACATTATAACATAACAGACTTAAGGCCCGTTTCCACTGAAGAAGTTCCTGGTACTATTTGGGGGGCAGGAACTACTACAGGAACGTCCTCTTGCTCGGCCCTCTCAACCGCCGTGTCTCCACTCAGAGAGCGGAGTACGAGGAAGGTTCCTGTAAAGTTACAGGCTCTGGATGTGACGTAATCGTTGCGCGACCATTTACTGTTAGCTGATAGCCCTTAGCGGTGTCTGTAATAACTCACTAAATGGCCCGTGAAAAAAAAAAATTTCCAGTGGATGTCTTAGTTACAACATGATTGAGTTAACTGGAGTAGTTTCATGTCGTATCCGACAACGGGAGGCTTTTAACAGATGACGTTCTGATGTTAGCTTTGCTGCTGCTGTTAGCTGTCCCTGTCAGCGGCAGCCACTGATGCTTTCTAGACATCGTGATTTCCCAAAACTGAATACCACACATAGCAACACAAAACTGCTTTGCTAGCTCAATCATGTTGTAACTAAGATATCCGCTGGAAAGAATATTTTTTTCACGGGCCATTTAGTGAGGTTTTTTTTACATGGCGGAGGAAGCTATATGAACAAGTTAACCCTCGTCTGCTGAGTTTTAAAAATGCCGGCTATTTTGTTGCTTTCTGTTGACATCACATCCCTCCTTGAGTATATCCAATCAGCACCAAGTAATCCCCAAGCCCCAGCCGGGAGTCTTTCGGGGCCATTCTGAGTACCTACCCTGAGGCAGGGACTTGTTTAGCCCCCGTAAAAGTTCCGGAACTCTGTCCTTCGGGGGTGGTTCCTGCGGCGGAGACACGCACCAATGGCCCCGGCCCTGTAAAATTACCCCAAAGTTCCTGCGGTGGAAACGGGCCTTTAAAGGAATACCCCAATGATTTAGGAGTTAAGGCCCATTTATGCTCAACGTTAAATACGGATCCGGATATGGACGGAGCCTTCTGTCAGTGCTCCGCCTTCATTACGTCCGTATTTTTGCACATTTCCATAAAGCTTACAGATATAGGCCAAACGGAGCAGTACCACTGGGAACCGTGGCGGTAGTGTTGCTGTCACTCCCCGATACGTAGCTCTAGTGAGACACAAAGAAGAAATAACAATTCAGTTTCTCTCATCGGCAGTACTAGAGTAGGGTGACCATATTTTGATTTCCAAAAAAGAGGACACTCGGCCAGCCACGACATAGCCTACTTAAATGATACTCGCAGTTTACTCAAAGATGCCTTATAATTTTGATATATTTAAAATTTATATGTATGGATAGAAAATCCAGTTATATTACAAAATAATATCTCTCAAAGACAGAAATTCAGATAGGCCCCAATAGGGGACACATACACACATTAGAGTGTGGCGATCCGAGCCCGACGGTACCTGATGGGTCGGGCCGGGTTTGGTCAAAAATGTAGCTATAAATTGTATTCGGGCTCGGGTCGGATTAGGTCAGCTTTCAGTGAAAATGTAGAGTAAAAATAAATAAAATCCTATTGTCTGTCCTGTTTATTGCTTGGGCACTGACAACACCTGAACATAACACACAGAGACACACATTGGCTGTTTGTTTCTACCTCTCCCCTCGCTGGAAGTCTCGGACCTCCAGCCGCCCGCCTCCGCCTTGATTAAACGCTGAAAATAAAATAAAAGAGGGAGACAGGTATATCCTATTATATCATATAATATTATATTTCTCCCTCTCCTCTCGCAAGAAGAATAGGACCTCCCGCCTCCCGCTCCCGTCTCAAACACGGAGGTCTCCCTCTCCGCTGAGCACCCACGGCGCACGCCCGGCCTGTTAAATAGCCTGTAACCGTAAAAAGTGTGTGACAAAAACTCAGTGCTTTGGTCATTAAATAATGTCGGGCTCAGTTCGGGTTCAGACAGAAATATGCGGCCCGTGCCACACTCTAACACACACATGGAAAACTGGATATTATCATCACTTTATAAAAACACCCCCGGACGCTCCGGACGGGACGTGAAAAGTGGACATGTCCGGGCAAAAGAGGACGTTTGGTCAGTCTATACTAGAGAAAAGAATTCTCCGTCCTCCAGTCACGATGTATTTAACAGCCTCACCGACCACCGCCTCCTACAACGCTGCCTCTGTTTTTGTCTTTTATGCAAGGTACATTATCAATATCTCCTCCACAGTCACCATGTTTGTTTTTGAGTTTGTTGTTGTCATAAACTTTTGACGCTGGGCTGCCTCCTGGTGGATATATTGGTTAACATCCATGCCAACATAAAGGGCGCATGGAAGTATGTGGGCAGTGACGGTAACATCGTTTGAAACGGACGTGTACATTTTCATACGTAAAGGGAGCATAAATGAGCCCTTATGCCCTTTCTCTATCATTTTCATAGTGAGACAACATGATCGATATCTTTTTTGTGTCTGTACGTCCAGTGGCTGGGTCTCAGCGGTTAGCACTGCGGCTTAGCTTAGCGAATACAGTTGAAGTCTATAGGGGGTCAGTAGCCTACAGTAAAAGTGAACAAATAAACGTTACAGAAACCCTGAAGCTGGCATTTCTGCATGTGCATTTAAAATAAACATGTTTAAACATTAATCTGAAAAACGAGAGTCCTTTTTAGTCGTTTTAGAAGAAGTTTGATACACTGAACTATAGTCTGTTTACGCCCTGCGCGGAGGGATACACCGGTGAGCAACAGCTGCAGCTGGCTCTGGGACAGGTACACTAGGTCACTCGGTAAAAGCAAACAGAGAGACGACACGGACGGTATTACTCACTCGACTGAAAGCTGTCCATCAGCTCCTGCAGGCCTGGGCGTTTTTTTCCAGTTTATCTTAGGAACATGAAAAAATGTTTCAATCACGCCAGGATTAGTGATTGCTGCAAAGTTTTCACTCCTTGTGATGCACTCTCTGCGGCGGTTTTCCTCCTGATGATATATCTCCCCAACGATGGTAGCACCGAATCCCATTCTGTGCAGCAAAATGATTCCACCTCTGTAGGCATAGGTTGGCAAGCCCCGCAGCTACACCACGAATCCTCCCGACCTCCATCTCCCCTCGGTCCCTTGCTGTTCGGCTGCCTCGGAGGATTCAGCCTCTCTTCTCGCCCGCTCAGCATCCAACACCTGGAGTTCCTCATCTGTATGCTCTGGCTCAAACAGGTATGGCTCTGGATCTGTGTCAGCTACAAGAAACTCTTCAAAATCACATTCAAAGTCGTCCATTGCAGTTACTATAGTCCGGAGATATTGCTAGGCTAAATAAACAGCTGAGTTTTGTTTACAGGCTACGTCTGTGCCTGTGCCTGCTCACCGGTGTATCCCTCCGCGGATCACAGCACAGGACGTAAACACACTATACTTCCGTGTATCAAACTTCTTCTAAAACGACTAAAAAGGACTCTCGTTTTTCTAATTAATATTTAAACATGTTTATTTTAAATGCACATGTAGAAATGCCAGCTTCAGGGTTTCTGTAACGTTTATTTGTTCACTTTTACGAGTAGGGTACTGACCCCCTATAGACTTAAATTTTAGTCGCTAAGCTAAGCCGCAGTGCTAACTGCTGAGACCCAGCCACTGGACGTACAGACACAAAAAAGATATCGATCATGTTGTCTCAATATGAAAATGATAGAGAAAGGACATAACTCCCAAATCATCAGAGTATTCTTTTAAATTCAAATGTTCTTCTTTTCTTTTTTTTTTTTTTTGAAGACTTTGTGACATTTGAACATGTCCTCCAATAACATGACATCATCAGTAGGCCTATTGCTCTCTCTCTTTCTCTCTCCTCTTCTTAGTTAATGCACTTCTCTGTCTTGGCCTCTTTCAGTAGGCTATCTGACTATGTCAGCAATTCAAAAAGAGAGATCCACAATATATTTTTCACTCAATGAAACCATACTAAATAAAAGACAGAAATATAACCAGTAAAAATATCAGATCTAAATAAAAAAAAAACCTCTTCGTGTGGACCATTAGAACATGAACATGTTGATGTGACATCAGTACATCACTCTGTCTCTCCTCTCTTCCTTCTTTATACTGTTCTCTGTCGCTCAGCTCTTTTCTTGGCTCTTGTTGTGTCTATTTCTCTAGTGTCCACTGCAAATTCACTAAATATATCCACCTTATTCTTAGCCCCTACGATCCCTTGCACAAATTATGTGCACGACTTCCACCGTGAACTGAAACCGGTGATTTCCAATGGTAACAGTTTGTTTACAGTACTCTGTTCTTCTTTCCAAGAGCAATTGGGAAATAAAACATGGAACACACCACCTGTTATAGCTCAAACGGGATTATGTGATCATATCTCTGCCATCTCTGACAGCCATCTCAAAGATCTCTAAAGATGATTTCTGATTTCTGATGATTTATTAAGAGATACTAACACATTAGGCAAACATTTAACATAATTAAGTATTAACTGTAGCTCCATGTAAAGTGAATAAATGTGACGTTTCCCAGCTAATCCTCCACTCGTCTGCGTTAACGACACAATTTACACGTTTTTATAACTTCTGATTTACTAAAAACTGTTCTGAGCGAAACATGATGCTGAATTTATCAGCGGACTTCAGTAATAGTAATATAAAGTAGTAGTGAAAGAAATAACTTTTGGCATTCATTTTTTATATGACATAAAGGAAGTATGGTAAATCAGTAACACATTCTCAGCCCTAATGTCTAAATACATATTTCAAGGTTTGTTGCTGAGTTTATTTCATAACAAGCAATTTCCTAATGTAGGTTGAGAATGAAGCCAGATGGGTAAAGACAGGGATATCACATACTGACGTTGAGTGACGGACCTGTCAGTCAGGTGTCATTCTCTTCTGCAAATTTTGATTTAATACTTTTTCGCTATGTCTTGTGAAACTCTTGTGGTTTTATTTCTTATATCAGTGGTACCTTTGGCAACAGGAACAATCCCTTTTTGTTCTGGTTACATGTTCAACACACAGTTGCTGAAGACAAAAATTTAGCTTGGACTGGTTGTTAGTCATTACAGACATGGACAGTGCAACAGGTACCAGAGCTCCGCGAAGACATTTTAGAAAATGCTACATTAACATTCATTAAATATTTGTTAAAAAAATAAATCAGTATTGATGGCCAATACTGATTTGAAAGAACCAGCGTTGATGGTTAGCCACCAAGAGTAGCCACAAACTAACCACAAACAGTCTATGGGACTAACTAGCTTACTGCTACTTCCACTATCTCACGGGAAGTTGCGCACATAATCGTTTCTACAGTAGTGCCCTCAGGAATAAGGTGGATACAGTCTATGAGTGAGACAGTGAGAGACAAGAAGTGCAATGTAGCCGATCAGAGGCAGAGGAGGGTGGTTATTGCCAAGACAAGCCAATAGCAAAGCGGCAGGAAAAATAAACTGAAGGATTGCTATGTGATGTCACGTGAAAGTGCTTCCCTCGTCTACAAGCCTTGGGGTGGTGCTGACGTCAGTCACATTACTTATCCTCATTTTTATTATCCTTACTTTAATCCAGACCTGCTCAGAAAAAAAGTCTGCTTTTCCTGGGAAAAGGAGCTTGTAACTTTTGGAAGCTAACGCACTACTCGGTCAGTTAATCAACTTTGCTAAGTGAAAAGCTATCTGACTCAGAAGGTAGTGAAGTTACCACCACGCTACTGAGAAATGTAGTTACGTTTGTAACGTCACTACTTGTGGTGGCGCTACTGCCCAACACTGATTCTTTGTAATACTCTGTGACTATAAGTGGTCACCCCCTCAAATGTTTAGGTTTAGGTATGAGGAGTGAGAGTGGTTAGGATTAGGGTATGAATATCTGGGTAAGCCAATCAGATGCAGAGCAGGGCAGGCCATGCCTTCACCCTTGTAAAAAAAAAGAAAAAAAAGTGGAAAGTAGGCTGTTGGATATTCAATTTAACAATCCTGGTTGGCATTATGTGTCATCCCAGGCAGCAGTGATATTATTATGGCACAGAGTTAATCCTTTAAGAATAACTGGCTACTCACACCACTTCATGGCCTAGTGGTGTAGCTGGCAAGTTACCAGCTGTCAGTTTTGGCAGCAATATATAGTAGGCTATATACAAAGATGCTCCCAATCAACCAGGGGAAGGAGGGTGTGAAACATTAGCATTAGGTAGGGCCAGCTGATTGCAGGCCATGAATCCTTCTAACTGTAGGGGAAGTGTGTCATTTCTGAGCAACAGGCCTTTGGAGTTGGGTGTTTGTTTTTGGCATAACGGGATGTGGGACAAATGGGCTTTTGGTTCAGTTGGACATTTTTCGGACTTTTGGGGTTTTAAAATAATGAGCTGTCTGAACAATGGCATGGCACAGAGAAAAGCATCAGATAACTCAGATAGGTCATTTCCAGCAAGCAGACTGTTAACAATGAGGACAGTCACTGACTTAGTAAAAGTAAATGGAAGCTCTCAGTCTCACCTCTGTGGCCAGAGGGAAGCCTAGGTCCAGAGCCGACTGATGTGGACTGCTGCTCAGACTGCTACCACCAGCTCTCTCTCCTCCACCACCTCCCCCTCTCTCCCCTCCAGCTCCGTGAGCCGAGGCCGGTCTGACCAGGCCCACCAAGGAGGTACGGAGCTGAGGTTTGTTTTGTCCATAACCCTGCATCTCCCCTAGGAGGGGCCTGGGCTTCGGGAGAGTGGAGACTGGATCTCTCATCAGCCTAGCTGGAGGCCTGTGGATGCCTGATGGGTCAGATACCTGGAAAAGGAGGAGGAAGTCAGAAAGTCAAGGGAACTGTCCCCCAATTTTCCCCCAAACACCAAAATTTTCCAGTCTCACCTCAGAGTAACTACGGCGACCCTGGAACTTTGCACGTAGACGGCTGCAGGTTGGCTGATGGGAATAGGAGGCAGGGCCATCGTTTGGGGAAAGGGGAGGAGAGGGGTTGGGGAGGAGCCTGTCAGGGGAGAGTGAGGGGTGCTGGGGAGAGGTGGGGGAGAGACGCTGAGGTGCAGGGCTAGGACGAGAGACTACAGAAGGAAGAGAAAGAGAGAATGGTAAACAAACTTCGGCTTTATCTCTACTCAAAACTCACCACCCCACCCTATCAGCTTAGTTGCCCATAAGGCGGATTTACACTTTTGCGTCAGTTCTATGCAGAGCCTACACTGTAGCCTACACACATAGTCTACGTATGTGGCCTACACACGTAGCCTAGGCCATTGTGAGAATTTATACTTGTGCGGTGGTGTGTCTGTGTCACTCTACAGTTACACCTCCAAAACACTAGTCGGTGGTGGGGTTTCTGTGAAGTGCTGTAAAGTTGAGTTGATTCAAAACACACATTAAACATGGCTTAATAGAGACAATTTCAAACACAAGTAGACAAATCGGCTTCATTATAACTCGCAGGATTCACACACAAAGTCATCTATCCAAAGCCATCTTGCATCACTTTATTATGCAAGATGGCTGCCAGCAGGTGCTGAGTTACAGCACGCTACAAACAGTTCTCCAAATTATATGATTTTTGGATGAATTCAGAGACTCTGACTTTAACAAAGCTTTGGCAGCTATTTAAATGATTATGTACTAGCATATAGCACAAAAGAAAGAAAAAATGTCAAGTTTTAGGCTGAAAAACAATCAAACGAAGCAAACGGGACCCAATGCAATCAACGCGCCTGAGGGAAATCAACCTGCTGAGGGTTTGGATGGAGCCTTGGGACTTGCTGAAATACTGAAAGAGATCAGAGAATTCTACATGGAAACAGCGGAGAACTTTGGAGAGATTAAGAAGGAAATTAACGCACTAAGAGAGGACATTGGGGAATTGAATAGGAGAATGGATGCAGCAGAGTCAAGAATTGAAACCTTGAAATGGACCGTGAAATGGACCGTGAGGTATAGGGTGCTTCCGGCCGCTTGGGCAAAAAACAGACATTCGGGTGAATGACCGGAGGATATACTTTGATGAGGACTTCACTACCCATGTGTACAAGAAACAAAACAACTTCAAGAGAGAAAGATCAAGTCACGCCCAATGTTCCCTGCAAGACTGAAAGTATTTGAAAAGGATGGAAAAGCAAAGGTGTTTGACAACCCCCAAGCCGCAGCAGTGGGCCTACGCGAGCTCAGCATCAACATAGAGATGGGGAAGCTGGACCCAGACTTGGAGTCCACGCTGCAGGCTGCGGGCTGGCAGACGCCCCGGAGCAGGAGAACGCCAGCAGGTGAACTGATGGCTGGAGTTAAGATACTATTCGACTCTCTAGATCTGCATGAACGAGCAAAGAAATAAAAGGTATGGATGGAACTCCAAAACAGAGACAAATAGGCCTATTCAGGCGCACACAATAGTTCGCACTGACTGAGACACTCAAATCTGATTACATGGTGCACAAATGATATAACTATGAAAATGATGTTGATCCGGAGAGCCATGTGTTCAATTCTATCAATGATACGTGTAATTATTATACTGAGGAACAATTTAAAGATTCTGTTGAACTAGAAAATAAGTTTACGTTTATACATTTCAACTGTCGAAGTCTCAGTGCAAACTTCACTAAGATCAATGAATATGTGACCACATTTAAAAGTAAATTATCTGAGACATGGTTAAATGAAGAGAAGGGTATTGATTTTCATATTGGGGGTTATGAGTTGCACTGTATCAATAGAACCAACAAGAGGGGAGGGGGCGTGGCCTTGTATGTGGATAGTGATTTGAAATGGAAACCGGTTGAATATATGACAACTGTAATTGATGATTTAATGGAGTGCATAACTGTGGAAATAGAAATGGAAAGGATGAGAAATATTGTTGTTACTTGTGTTTATAGAACACCAGGGTTGAATGTAGAAACATTTAAAGACAGTTTGGAAGAACTATTAAATAAGAGAAATGAAAGTAAAACATTTATAATTTGTGGGGATTTCAATATTGATATCCCAAACGTATCCAAACATAAAACATCGGATTTTCTGGATACATTATACAGCAGAGGGCTATACCCATTGATTAGCAAGCCCAGTAGAATAACCTCGACCAGTGCAACATTAATTGACAACATTTTTATAAACACCTTGAAAAATAATGTAAAAAGTGGGCTAATAATTAATGATCTTAGTGACCATTTACCTGTATTTGTAACATATGACTGGCAACTAAACAGAAGGAAAGAGGAAAATGCCTATAGATACGCAAGGGTAAGAACTGATGATGCAATTAGCAAGTTCAGAAACGACCTCTTAATGGAAGAGTGGAAAGGGGTTTATGTGAAGAGGTAAATGCTGCATATGAGGTGTTTTTGGACAAATCATTGATCATTTTTCATCATTGCATGAAAAACACTGTCCACTTTTACTATGTAAACAAAAAGACAGTTACAATAGAAAGCCTTGGATAACAAAGGGACTACAAAATGCATGCAAAAAGAAAAACAAACTGTATAGGGATTTTGTAAAATTTATAACAAAGACTGCTGAAAAGCAATACAAATTGTACAAAAATAAGTTGACATCAATAATGAGACAAGCCAAGAAAGAATAGGCTAATATAACAAAATGTTGAACAAAAATATAAATTATATCAAAGGTACTTAAACAAGGAAAGAGCTGCCTGCTTACAGAGGCAACAAATAGGATTAGTTGTTTTTTTTTTTTTTTTTTTTCAGCTTGGCGTCACCTAAATAAAATGTAGGCTGTAAAGCCCCTGGTATACCTCTCTGTATATGTAGAATGAGAAGGTGTGTGGACACTCTACTAAATGAGTAAAGAGACTGAACAACAATTATCAGATTTATCTGAAGAAAAAACAAATAGTAATGCAAATAATTATACTAGAATGCACAGTACCAGTACAAACAACTCACAGTAAATTATACCAATATGCACAGTATCAGTACAAACAACAGTAGACACAGTGAAATTATACCAATATGCACATGTAAACAGTCTAGTTCAAGATTCTAGAATAAATGGTACCGTATGGAAACGATGTGGCCAGTTGGAGCTCAAATTGAATGGGAAACAAAGTTCAGTTTTCCCTTAGCTGGGCGTAACGTTAACTTAGCTGGGCAATGTCCACCAATAGCTGCCTCAGTGAGAAGAGAACAGAAGGAAGGGAGGGGGGTATCACCATAGACATATATACGTAGTGTAGTGGAAAAGGTGGGTGCCTGGAAGTGGGCCTGCAGGCCCCCGACCTCGTCCTCCACTTGACTTTGCTGTTTCCCTTTGATGTAGATCTGACACCGTGGAGTCAGCTAGATAATACTCAAAGAATCACTGGAGACAGGCAGAGTCCAATGCAATCGAGTTTAATGTGTTCACAAGCTTCAACACATACAACTCAGTGAGTCAAGCCCCGGGACCGGACTGAAAAACAGCTCTCCGTGCGTCTGCTTTTATGCTGGTGGAGACTGGGATGTGAATCTTAGGGACTTTCTTTATGCAGTCCCTTGTGCTCTTATACAATATAAACTTTTAAATGTGCATCAGGTAGTACAGACATGTGAATGTGTGTGTACTAATCATTATATAGAACATGATAAGTTACATGTGTGCTCTGTAATGTGAATACAAAGTTGACTTATAACTCCAATTTGTGAACACTTTTACATGTATAACAATGCTTTAACACATATGGATGCATTTCAATCGGTTTTATAAAATCTTATACATAAAACATGGTTATATGATGGTTATATGGTTTTGTTTCTTAATCAACTTATGCAGTGTAACACTTTTACTTGATTAGGAATTAACTCTTTACACTACAGTAGACGCCACATCGAGTGAGTTTGCCCGCTGCTGCGATACGTCAACGTCGCCGCCATATTGAATGTGGCAAGGCTGCGCTGTAAACTAATACAAGTAAATGGCCTTTATTTCATAAAGCACCTTTCTACAAAGAAATTTACGTTAATGCCTCTCGTTTATTCATTCACACACGCACTAATATACTTGGGAAACAGTTAGGCACCAAAAACAATGTATATGATCTTCTCAGATGGCTAAGATAAGAAGTTTATTGATCCCACACTGGAGTAATTCACGTTACATCAGCTATAGAGAAAAAGGTAGTGCCGAAAAACAATACACAGTGTATATATATACATATATATATATATATATGTATGTATATATGTATATATATATATAGACATATATATATTGATTGTAGCGACCCTGCAGTGAATGTTCTGTTATCTGTGTTCTGTTATAATGTCAATGTTCTGTGAGTTAGTGGCATGTTTGGGATTGAATGAGTATAGGTAGGGGGCGGGGTGCGAGTGTGACAGGGATGAGGGCTGTGTGAGTGCGCTTGCTGGTGTGTGTACATAGGGGGTAAAGGTCTGTACAAAGGGGGTACAAACATGGGACCAACTGTTATAGAGCTCTTGACCTCAACTATCATGTGAGTGTAGTCAAGAACTGGGGGTGCTGTCACATATGGGTAAAATATGGATAAAATTAATTTTCACCCATTTAGAAATTAGATATTTAAAATCTGATTACACAAGTGTGTTTACCATCCCCTTAAAGTTCACAGTGTACTCACAATTCAGTATTTACAACTTGAAAATCTAGGAAAAACACTTATCTTTTTTAAAAACTACAAACCGTGCCATGCAGCTTGATACATATCAGCAACATAGTTGTAGTTCTTCTGATTTGCAAAGTAGGGTTCTAAATAGGGTTGTAAAAGTAAATAAAGTAAAGCCGAACTAGTGAACACACTGCTCCTAATTGAACTATGTTAAGAAAAAGTAAAGATGTCGGCTAATTTTTGATATTTAACTAATGCGCTAGAAATGGCATTTCTGGGACGGTAGGTTTTTTGCGGCTTGTAAAATAGAGTTGTAAAATAGGGTCGTAAAAAGATAGATCTACTGAATATATCTAATATCTAGTAAAGCCGAACTAGTAATGACACTGCACCTAGATGAACTATGTTAAGAAAAAAAGCAAGGATGTTGGCTGATTTTAGATAGTACTCTAGAAATGGCGTTTTTGGGACAGTAGGTTTTTTGCAGCTTGTTGTAAAATAGAGTCGCAAAAAGATACATCTACTGATTATATCAAATGTCTAGTAAAGCCGAACTAGTAATGACACTGCACCTAGATGAAATATGTTAAGAAAAAGTAAGGATGATGGTTAATTTCAGATATTTTAGCAAGTTCTCTAGAAACAGCGTTTTTGGGACTGAATATTTGAATATATCAAATATCTACTACAGCCGAACTATCATGTTATTATTATTATTATCATTGGTGGGAAATTATAACAGAGGAATATATTTGCCGTTATAATATCAAGAACACTTTTGTGTTTTTGTGTGTATACAGGACGTTGTTGAATCAGGGAATTCGTGTGTCCACCATGAAAAAAGATCCTAATTGACTTTACATTGGCATTGTTTCCGTGGTACCGGCACGTAATTTCAACCCATTACGTGCTGCCACCACGGAATGCGGTGTTAAGAGGTCGTGGTCATTTCATGTATTTTTGTGAGATCAGGTTGCGTGTTACTTACTGATCCATTAGAAAGAAAGCTAGCTGGACATCGGTTCTGAAGCCTCTTTGGTCACGGAGCCCCCTCCATCTCTTGAATGCCTGACTGAGCTTTTATCACTCTCCTTTTTGCTCTTCTTTGCCTCTCAGACAGAGGAGCTCATTTTCTTTTGCTAGGCCGTTTTCACTTGTCTCCAAACTTTGTCCGTCTGCAATTGTGCTCGTGACTCAACTATCTCATGCCCAACTCCTCATAAGGACCCGCTCCAGTCCCTGAATGGCTGACCGACCAATTTCGCAATACATGACACGTTTCCTGCTGTAAAGCAGATTTTTTCCGCGAAATTTCGGCACCGGTGGCAGAGGCTTATTGCAAAGATTGCAAAGCCACTAAGTAACCTATGTGAACGCTGATAGTCTGATTTTACTGTGACCACTACCCTGTGCAACCCACATTATTTTCATAATGATATATTTAGGAAAAGATGCTATCTGTTGCCTCTTTAAGGGTGTGCCTTTGCAAATTGGCATGGTACAGCTTGATTCAGCGTAACCAAAAGTGATGACGCTCAAGGTACCCCACCTGTGTCTTTTGGACAGTTAGGGATGGCATGTCAATTGATGCTTGTTAGATGCTTTGTGTCTTCTCGAAATTATCGGGGTTGCTCCGAACCCTGTAGGGGGGTTCGGGGCATGTATATATTTGATTTAAAGGCATCAATCTGGTGAATTCGGAGAGCCAAGTTATGATGGCAGATTATGCTTAGATTTCAACATCTTTGTGCTTTTTTATGTGTGAAAAATTTTACTGACAAAAACTCTAGTGGTATGTTGTGCTGAAGGGTTACACTTAAAATACGGCTACAGACAAAATATTCTTTTAAAACTCTCTCACACACAAACACAGTTACAGATACGCAAAACAATACAAAATATGCAATATGAAAAGAAAACAAAATTTAAGACTCAAATCAATTACACACAAACAGACACAAATTACTGCTTCCCTCCCTCACGATTTCAAAATACGGCACCCTAAATCAGAGCATTTAATTGTACGCAGCTTCGAAAAGGAGATTTCAAAAGCCCTCTGGTAGTTGAATGCCTCTGGGACAGGCCCATCTATGGCAACCCACTGGATCCGTGGTGTGCGCAATCCAGCCAAGGCGCGGGTGCCAGAGCTAATAGCGGCCATTCAAGTCAATGTAAGCTGCTCCACCAACCGCAGCCTAGAAGCAGCACGGCACTCCGCTCTGCTAAAAATACGCGCCGGGTCTATTTCTGAAGCAAAGAAGGCAAAGAATACTCAGAAGGCACTCCAGCCATTGCGCTACAGAGTGACGTTCATTTACCGGAGGCATTTTATATCTGGCCGATTTTTGGAGACTATGGCGGGGCAAATTAGTCAATGTATGGGAAACACTGTATATATATACACTAGAAAACTCGTGCCCCTTTCCTCCCTGTGTGGTATATTCCACATGAACCAGTGGGTGCGCCGCTTTAAGTGGTCCCACCGACAACCTGTTGAGACGATTTAGGTCTGCATTCCGCGTTCTGCATTTCCCCTCCGACTCTTCAGCGGGGGGACCACGGGGGTGCTGGACTCAGAGTTATGGGAGAAATGGCCCCTGCTGGCTCCCCCCTAAAACCGCCATTGCACACATATTACCACACTTTGTGGTTATCAAAATAACTCAATTGACTTTTGGTTTCACAGGAAAAACAGGTGAAAGTCAGGAGTTTCTTTGGCCTGTCTACCTTACCTCCTGCCAGCCCTATGCAGACTCTCTCTTATACTATGGCAGTTGCTCAGAGTGACAATAAATGCCACCACCAGGTGCGTATCATTCAGCTGCTAAAGGGTGCCTCAGTGCATTGGTATTTGATACAGAGAGCACCAAGCACTGGTATTTGACAAGTCAAGAAAAGCTGCTGTAATTATGGCTATGGTTTTAGCTGTGGCTGTTACGATTACAGAAGCTGTGACACACACACACTTTGTGTGTGTTTTTTCTTATTCAAAATTCAACCTTTTGTTCAAACATAGTACAAAGGAAACACTTTGCACATCTATTAAACAAGACAGGTGCGTTGGAGAGAGAAGACCAAAAAGTTGCAAAAGGACTCCCGCACACTGTCTAACTTGCAATATGTGGCCGTGCAGCCCACCACACAGCAACTTTTCAGCATTTGGACGTAGGGAAAACTGAACAGGCTGGAAACGGAGGCGGAAAGTGTGAGGGGAGAGCGGGCCTCGTTTCCCCTTTGGGGGTGTGGCTTTCAGATTATGACGCGTTGTGCTCTGTCTCTATTCACAATCATGGTTGACTCCCTTGGCCTTTTTTGGCAAGCTAAGCTCATCAATAAAAATGGACGTGGACACTACAGTACAGAAAGCAAAGCCCAGCATGCTGTTTGGAATGTGTTTGAATTTGCTCAAATGAAAAGTGTGTTAGATTTAATTTTAATTTTGTTTTCATTTATTTGGTACACTACTGCTTTTCTCCACTGGCACCTGGGCCCAAACCCATCTTAAAAGAAATATAACAGGCTCCTGTTGTGTGTTCTCTCAAAATCAGGCAACACCATAGAACTCTGCGGTCATTCATTAGGGGGAAGGTAGTCTCGCTCACCAGACCTTTCTCAAGAAAAGAAAGGTCTGGCTGCGCTGACTCTCACTTTAAGATTGGAGAAGAAACACGCCCCGGCTTTATATATTTCTTTCAACCAATCACAATCGTTCTTGGAGGTGCCACAGCAATGGTGTGCTTGCAAAAATATTGCCGGGGGGAAACAGGTTTTGGTGTAACACGCCCACAAAAATATCGCCTACAGGACGCGCACCATGGCAAAAAAATGGCTACATCCCCGCAAGATCAAACACCGCAAAAATTAGTAAAGGACGTGTTGAAAACTGCTACACACCCGGAGATGGTAAGGCGGGACTTCAGCGGGTGGCTTGTTCCGCCCAATGAGAGGCTGATCTATGCAACGAACTTCCGCCCACTCAGACTAGGGGGAAGGCTAATAGGTGAATTTATGCAATTAAAAAAAATAAATAAAAATCACACACACATAAACACATTTTGTTAATGAGCCTCAGTCCATTTTTCTGAACTTTCAGGCCTTTTCAAGGCTTCTATTATATTTAAAGGCAGTCTGTCTAACCATTAGACTAGCCTCTGCTTTAAAGCTCCAGTGTGTAGGATTTAGGGGGACATATTGGCAGAAATGGAATAAAATATAAAAAGTATTACATACATTTATTTGTTACCTTAGAATGAGCTATTTATATCTACATTCAGAGCTAGTCACGTCTACAGAGTCTGCCACGTTGTACCACCATGCTTTTACTGTAACCCAGAACAGACAAAGCAAACACTGGCTCTAAATTAGGCCATTCATGTTTTTTACATTTTTGCCACTGTAGTTCTCTACACCCTTCACACAGGAGAAGTTTCAGTTGGCTGCAATCTGCAACTTCACAACTAAATGCCACTGAATCCTACACACTAGACCTTTAAAATATCTACTAATACCATGAAGTCCATAAACCATGAAGCCACTCAGGTACCTACCAGGTGGCTCCTGTGAGACATGTCGCAGAAGTTCACTCTGTTTCACAGCCAAATTTCGAACACGACCCAACTCCTCTGTTAGCTCAGTGTAGGCTAATGCCAGGTTCACCCTGCAACATAAGGAGAGTGACTGAATAAAATAATTCAAAGACAAATAAATAGAAAACTGACATAGACTGTCTTTTAAGTAAGACTCACTGTTCGTCCCCGGCTTTCTTTATCCACTCTACGTTACAGTGCTCACAGTGGGGAGACAGCTCCTGTGACTGACAGAGACACAGAGCGGTGGTTAAGGCTGCAGCACTAAACAACTTGTCTGAGACATTTGTTCTCTACATGTGGTCCAGCTATTGCAGTCTATATACTTTAGTGTATATACCACAACTATTATTAATTCTTGTTTATATCTATGTATAGCACTTCACCATCCTTCAATCTCAGCTCTTAATTTGGATGTTGGAGCTACATCAATCAATCCACATTTGGTGCTCTGTTGAGTATTTGTATGGGCAGAAATATGTATTCAACTATAAATTGAATTTGTATTGTGGAAAATCCTTAAGCACCCCTCTACCTGTATGGAAAATCCCTAACCACTCCTACCTGGCAGATCCCAGAGTCTATATGTAGCAGCAGCTGACAGGTAGCAGTCCTTTTCTCTGGAGAACAAAGGAGCATGTGGACCAGCCTCATCCTACCTTCGAGTATAGTATATGAAATGTGAGTTTCCTTTAATTTAAACGCATTTACAGTAACCTGAGAAAGTCATTATTGGTTTGTTATGTTGATGAAGTTTCAGTTACATTATTTCCTAATTTATAGTTTTATAGTTACTGTGTTTGAAGTTAAATTACCTTTGTTGGATTTTTATTCCAAATCAGAAATCATGATATCTAGTGAATTAGTATTTATTCGTTTCTTCTGTTGTCAGACAAACCAGCTCAAACTGCCTTCAAATGAAGACTGAAATGGAACCTCCTGCATGTGCTCACCTGTTCTAACCGACACACCATTGAGATTATGAAGTCCTTGAACCAGAGTATCCTAAAATCCTAAATATTCTTCATGCATCATTTATATTTGAATCTGAGTTGTTCGTTTGGAATGTAATTCCATGAAGTTGAAACCGAATGCAATTATCCTGACATTAAATTCAGTTGCTCTGTATTTGCTACTTCAGTTCTTGCAACGTAATGTGGTCATTGAATGAGAGCAATAGAGTGCAGACTCACAAACTCCTGTTCTTGTCTTGTTTGTAAGTACAGAACCAAAAAAGACAGTGGCAGACAAGAAAAAAACAGTTCATTTTTTCAACTAGAATTTGACAAGAGTACAAAACTGAAAAAGGCAGTGGCAGAAAAGACAAACGGGAGAAAACTGTTTTTCCACTTGAATTTCACCCTGCAAACCCACCACAGGGGATCACAGCAGGCTGGTGGCCAGCAGCAGCACATGAGAGCAGTTTGCCTTTAGGGCTTTCTGCCAGAAAACCTTTTCTATTAGAAATCTGTGCTTTGTTACCCAAAAATTGCACATGCGCGGCTTCCGTAGAAGACAAAATAACATCTCAAGGCGTCCGTAACCAAAAAGCATTTACCCTCGATTTCATTAATTTTGAAATCGTTTGATCTCAAAATCGCAATCGCAATCACCAGACGATTAACTGCACAACCTTACTGTCAATCTTTATTATGATTTTGTACTTGTAACAAGATGAGGATAGGAGTTCTGTCAATCTGCACTCGATTGCTTGTCCTCAATGACCAGATGTGCACCTCAGTAAACTGAAATTTAATTGCAAGAACTGAATTTGAATGTGGAACTATGTTGAGAGTTGGTAAGGACCAAATTAATAGAATCAATTACAACTTATGCAATTATTCAAGTTAAAAAATACAAATTTCAATTATGTCAGTTTCTTGTGACACATATTTTGTGCTTATATATGAGAGGCAGCAGGCTTGTGTATGTGAGATTTTAGTCAAAATTAACTACAGTGTGTGTTCATGGTAATGGAGGAACATATTACTCTATGCAACAGTGAGGCCTACTGATGTGTTTTTGATTTTTTTTTTTTACAACAGAAAAGCTCCACAGCACAGAGGAAGAAAATATATCAGGCTTTAAGAGGGTGCTCCACAGATAATGTTTTTCTGTAGGCAGGCGCTGAAGTTAGCATCACATCAAAAACCTAGGGGACTTTTCCACTGGCTTTGGGATTTTGGATTATTACATAAAATAAGCTCTGTGGCAAACAAACGTTACTTACACGAGACTAACATGTTTTGTTCACCAAGGTAATCTTCACAAATGAACATCACTTTTATGATTTTTGAAGCCTAAATGCAACCACCAGAAGTAAAAAATCTAAGATTAGGATATAAACTACACCACGGTTGCATGACTTAACGTCGTCACCACGACAAGGCTGTAAAGCCGTGTTCAGCGTGATGACGTTCTGTAGTCTCATTTTGCCACTTGTCAGCAGAAAAGACACATATAAGCTTCAAAATTCACAGTGGGGTATTTACTGACATATTTTATGTTGTAGAACCGGTTTTAAACACAGACCTTATTTCAGGCGTCTAATCAAAAACCCATTCAAAAAACCCACTGACTTTGGGACGAGTGAACCAGGAGTGCAAAAATGCTAACTCATTTCTGGGTTTTAGGACTGATTCCTGGGGCATACTATACACACGCTATGCTTGTTAGTAGATAGATTCACTGTTGCTTTGGCTCTGAACGTGGAATTTGGTGATAATAAGAAAATTATAGAATTTTGTTATTTATTTTCTATCATTTTTCTTAAATTGATTTTTTTATAGATATGTGTAGCCAAATTTCTAAGCAACTCGTACATTAAAAATCTATGTACTTCAGTTTCATTATATTTTATTTTGTCCTTTCATGTCCTGAATAATGTTATTTAATAAATAAGCAATTCATTTGCAAATAGCCCTGGTGCACCTACAGTGGTTAAGAATTTCAGCCACATTGTTTCTAAAAATTGGCCATCAAATGTGACAAAGCGCTCACAGTCAGGATAATGTAGAGAATGATTCTGATAATATGACAGGTGTGAAGCTCCACTCCTCTCACCATAATGCCTACCTGTCTCTGTGCTTCCTGTAGCTGGGCCACCTCCTGCTGCACCCTCTGAAACTCGGCCCTTAGCTCCTTCTCCCTCTGACAGGCCCCCTGGGCCTGCTGCTGCGCCCCCTCCAGCTCAGCCTCCAGGCGCTGCAGCTTCAGGTCTGACAAGGCGTCCAGACTATGGGAGCTCTGCAGCGTGGGCCCACAACCTTCTGACAAAACCACACACAGAACAGCTTCAGTCTCTTTTCTCCCTGCTTCTAGTTTTTTCTTACAAAGGGGCAGCTGTGGCTCAGAGGTAGAGCGGGTCATCCACCAATCGAAAGATCAGTGGTTCGATCCCGGGCTCCTCCAGGCTGCATGTCCAAGTATCCTTGAGCAAGATACTGAACCCCAAATTGCTCCCGATGGCTGTTCCATCGGTGTGTGAGTGTGTTAAAACTGAGTAGCAGGTAGCACCTTGTATGGTAGCCTCGGCCACCAGTGTATTAATGTGGGTGTGAATGAGTGAACGTGACTCGTAGTGTAAAAAGCGCTTTGAATGGTAACATTCAAAGCGCTTTTTACACTTCGAGATGAATGGAAAGGCGCTATACAAATGCAAGTCCATTTACAAGTCACAATGATATCGGTGGAAGAGTAAACTTTAACTCCTGAATTATTAATATATCCTTTTACATGTTTTTGAGAAAGTTATTCACACCTTTGTTACATCACGCCTAGACTACTGTAACTCTTTGTTTGTTGGTCTTGACCAGTCAGCACTGCGCTGTTTACAGGTAGTCCAAAATGCAGCTGCCCGCTTGCTGACTGGAAAGAAACGGCGTGATCACATTAGTCCTGTCCTTGCATCTTTGCACTGGCTGCCTGTTAATTTTAGGATCCAGTTCAAGGTTTTATTAATTGTTTTTAAGTGTTTAAATGGTCTGGCACCGTCTTATTTATCAGAGCTTGTACAGCCTCACAGTACTTCTAGAGCACTTAGGTCGTCAAACCAGCTGCTCCTGGCAGTACCTCGGTCCAGACTCTCTACTCATGGGGACAGAGCCTTCTCAGTGGCGGCCCCAAAGCTGTGGAACAGCCTACCATTCCAGGTTAGAGCTGCACAGTCTGTTGAGCACTTTAAAACATTACTGAAAACCCATCTTTTCTCCTTGGCGTTCAGTCCCTGCTAGGCAAGAATCCTTGGCTTTTACTCTTTTTACTCTTTTTACTCTTTTATTTCCCTTTTTTAATCTAATTTTTAGTTTTTTAAATTGAGCCCTTACTATTTCCTTTGTTTTATTTATTATGATATTTGTGTATGATTATTTTATATTTCAATAACTGTACAGCACTTTGGTCAGCTGAGGTTGTTTTTAAATGTGCTTTATAAATAAAGTTTGACTTTGACTTTACCATTGTCTGAAATCAAGGACCCACCGTTTAAAAAAATACTACAAATTTCAGTGTTAAACCTGCCTTTGTTATCACTGTAACCTGCATGTGCAAGAAAGGGAAGGTTGAAACAGAGAGCGACAGTAAGGGGTGGGGATTAGTAAATCGTCAATTGTAAATTTTTTGGATTTAACTCCTAACTGAAACTGAGTCTTGAGGTACTGTAGGAAGAGATTGGAGGGTTCATTTGGGTGACCTGACGCTTTAAGCAAGCGGTAGTGATATATAGCTGGTCGCACTGCTGCTAATACTTCTATTATTATGAGTGATACTGCTTTCTGCTACTACTACTGGTATTATTATTACTGATCCTTCTACAACTGCTAATACCATCATGATCTAACTGAGTCTACTGCTGATCCAGACAGAACCCACCTCTTGGTACGTTCAGGCTGGCGTGGAGTTGAGACTGATGCGCATCTTTGCTGCGGAGTTGAGCGCTAAGTTTCTGAAGGGAAGTTTCTCTTTGTCTGAGAGCTGACTCCAGACTGCAGATCCTCTCCATGTGCTGCTCTGCCAGAGTTGTCTGACACACACAGACACACACACACACACACACACACACACACGTGGAAATTGCTGCTTAACACTAGCATTGAATATTATTACAAGGAAACGTAGGTATTTGTGTGTGTATTTGTAAATGTTTACCATCTTGTCTAGGTCTCTCTGGACATTGCTTTTCTCCAAGTGAATCTTCTCATAAGCCTGGATGACTTCCTCCAACCTCTCCTCTCTTTCCTTACTCTTCTGAAGCTGAAACATAGGGACTTTGTTTTAACAGATAATTCTGGTTTACAATAAATTGGGTCTTTGTTCTGTCCATCCTTCCTCTCATTGATACCACAGTCCTTTCTAAGTTAACTGGTGAAATCTGCAAAATTAGCCACATGGCTATAGGCGTGATTTATACTTGTAATTTCAGTTGTCTCACATCAGAATAAAATCCAGGTTAGGTTTAGGACACTGTCATTTACCACATAAATAAATGTATCAACAAATCTGTATCAACTAATTTTCAAAGTGAATGGACTGTGCTCAACATCTTCACTGCCTGAAATCAGTAGCTTTTAGTAGTGGAGCCCTGTCAGCTCAGCTGTGACTCACCATATGTTCCCAAAGCCAAAGAAAGCAGCATAATCTGATAAATCAGTTGTAAATAATGCTGGTGAGCTGTTAACCTTACAGATTCAGCCATTCAGAATTTCCCCTCCTACCAGAAGACCTTTTGGCTGCAATCAGCTGAGTACCATTGGTCTTCTCCTGAAAGATCATGACGAGGGTTACTTTAGCGAGGTCACTGTTCTTCAGGACTGGTGTCAGGCAAGTTTATTGGATGTAGTGACTACTATCAATAAATAAAGCCGCTAGGAGGCTGAGTAGGCTCTTACAGTAACTGTGACTTGTTCAAAAAAATTCATACTGAAGTTCAACAATGCGTTTTATGGTGATATATTAAATAAACTGGATAACTAAAGCAAAATGAGATTAAACAAAGTATTAATGATGTGATCACGCGATTGCATGATTACGGCCAACAGAAAATATCAGAGCCAACACTTGCCCTCTTTGTCTAAAAGCCAAACATGGCAGTTAATGAACTGGTAAAATAATGTAAAACCACATCCGCACCTGTGCCAGACAGTTACTACAGGAAGTGAAAGTGACCTAAAGAACATGTGCAGCCTAAACAAATACACAATGAGGGTTAAATACACATTCTGGCTCCTACACTGTAAATGAATGTGGCCAAAACAAGAGAACTAATCATACAAACAAAACAAAATGGAACCAGTCATATCCTCCCTGTCATACTCAATAATAAGCCTGTAGAAAAAGTAGAACAATTTAAGTACTTGGGCACAAATATTGATCAAACCCTAAATTTTAATGAAAATTCAGACAGCATTTTTAAGAGAGACAATCAGCACCTGTTTTTAATCATTTGGTGTTCACCAACACATACCTGAAATAGCATACAGAGGCCTGGTTAAAAGCATTTTATCATTTCACATTACAGCATGGTATGGCAACGTGAGTGCAAAGAGAAAAAAACAAGCTCTCTAGGATTGTCAGTATTAAAGGGAAGGTGATTGGCAAGTCACAGACACAACTCAGCAATATATCTGACAATGCTGTACACAGGAAGGCCAAACATATAATTGCCAGTGCCTCGCATCAATTACTCTCACAGTTTGAGCTGCTCCCATCTGGGCGTGTCTTTAGGGTCCCAAGAACCAATCGCAACATTATATTCACCTTATTTTCAAACATGGAAGTAAATAGTGATCAACTTCCGTGTTTTTGTGTGTGACTTCCGGTCAGCCGCTTTCCCTTACCGGCGCTAATGGTGCAAGCTAATTTTTTTCAATTTTCAATTGTTTATGTTAATCAATCAGTTAGTTAGTCTGTGTATTTTATATAGATAACTGTGCCCACGTTTCCGTTATCTGGTAATTGCCGGTAAAAATAATTCCCCCTAAACGCGAATAAATCGCACGTCAATCAAAAACTATGAACCAAAAAAGCACAATCTATCCCGAGAACCTGCAGAACCGAATCAGCGAAAAATCACACTCACAACTGTGAGAAATAAATATGTGACGTGTAAGCTGCTTTTCTATCTTTCTTTCTTTTCTTTCTTTCTTTCTGTCAGCGACATACACTCCTAACACAGGACGGGTTGTTTTTATTGACTGAGTTGATTATTAAGCCATAGTGATGCGCGGATCGGCTCTGATAGCACCCGAATCAGCATGTACGCATTAATCATCCAGCTGTTACAACATAATTGAGCTAGCAAAGCAGTTTTGTGTTGCTATGTGTGGTATTTATTCAGTTTTGGGAAATCACGATGTCTAGAAAGCATCAGTGGCTGCAGCTGACAGGGACAGCTAACAGCAGCAGCAAAGCTAACATCAGGATGTCATCTGTTAAAAGCCTCCCGTTGTCGGATATGACATGAAACTACTCCAGTTAGCTCAATCATGTTGTAACTAAGACATCCGCTGGAAAAAATATTTTTTTCACGGACAGTTTATTGAGTTATTACAGACACCGCTAACGGCTAACGGCTAACAGCTAACGGTTAGCCCAGCTAATCTACGATATCCATGTTATTAATTACAAAACGTGCACAAAGAAATAGTAATGTTTGTTCAATCATTGTATTTATAGACTTTACAAACATCAGATTAGTCTAAACGGTGATATAGTGACGTGAAAAATGTGATATATACATATATATATATATATATATATATAGCCAAACTCAACAAGGCGATTCCCGGAAGCTGGATGAGTTCTGTTTTGCCTCCGTGTTTCCGTGAAAAATAAGGTGAATACGAAGTCCTTTATTCCCTATGCCATACAGCCAATGAACACAGAATGAGTGTATCAGGGAACACTACTATTTTATGAGATGCTCTCTTTTATTATCTATATAACTTATTACTCTTACCTGCCTATTTGCACCATTGTATCATATATTGTTTAATTGTACATTTTTAATGGTGTATTGTGTTATGTGTCTGCATGTACCTTTGATGTGTGTAGAATATCTTAACTGTAGAGTCTTTCAATAAAAAATGTTACATTTAAGGCATGTGAGGGGCAAACTGGGAGAACTTGTTGGGACGCGTGTTTTGGGCAACAACAATAAACCAATGTCCAATTCATCAGGTTTCTCTAAGTGCAGTGACCCATCTATTTTAACACATGCTCACCTTCACACAGGTAAAACGCTGAATGTCCATGATTCATCTCAGATAACTTTCCACTTAATAGTTTCAGAGTCCATCACAGGAAAGTGTCCATTCAACAGTTCAGTGTCAGTCAAAGGTAAGTTTCCATTCATCAATTTCAGTTTCAACACACTACACACACTTCATGCTGCCACTGTTTGCTTCCCCCGTCACACACCTGCTGCTCATCACCTGAGCCTTACCTATCTTACCTGCGCCACCCTGTGTACAAACAACAAAACTGCATCTATTTACATGTAATCACCATAAGTTAAAAAACCCTGACCCTATTTTATAGGCCTCTGCTCGAAAATTGCATATCCATAATGAAATGATGTGAAAGATGTGTAAATATCAGTATATGTGTTATATGTGAGGAGTAAATGAAGATGGCACACAGCACAAATGAAATATTTTGAGGTTCGCCTAAAAGAAAAAAGCATTTTCAGGATGAGTATCCCTTTGGAATGATGCAGCTGCAGCTTTAAACCTCTATCACATCATAGTGCAATATGTGAACATTAACTCTACAAAGGTTGATTCTGATAAAGTGAAGTACAACAATATAAGAGAGGTTTTAGTACAGAAAATTCAGGCCAGCTCTCCAAAATTGCACCATGTTTGCATGTGATTTTTGTACAATCCTATATCTTTCATTTTTTGTTTCTGTAAATCCCTACTGATGTTTAGGGTATACACATAGAACTGTCTGTTTCGTTTATTTACTCTATTTCCCACTCCAAACTGACCAAAATGCACCTACCACATTTGAACCTGAGTTTCTATTCTGAGCTTTGGGGGCCCATATCTCCGCGACAGCTTGGCCGATTTGAGTGATTGACACCTCGTTTGATTCGTTAGAGACAATAGAATGAAGCTATATCCACCAAAATGAGATTGACAGCACTGTAAGCCAATCAGAGTCAGCAGAACGCATTGTGGGGAGATGTCGGCTGCTGTGGGTGGTCATTGTTTTTGTTCCCCCGGAACCTTTTTTCCGCTCAGATTCATTTGAATGACGGACAACTTCCGGTAGTATGCGAACAGAGCGTGAATCAACAGCAGAATGCGCATTTTATGGTGAAATTAATAAGGTAAGAGCCATATTACAAATATATTTTGGCAAAGAGGATTCTGTTGTTGTTGTTGTTATTCTTCTTCTTCTTTGGGCTGTAGCTCTGTGATGGTTAAAGGGAGAGTGATTTGGAGTATACATGTGGAAAGAGTGGAGTCTCAGCTTTGATTTGAGATGAATGGCATGTGTTCTGAATAACGTGTGGTCGAGTTAGAGCCCGAAATATACCGAGTGGGTCGGGATATTGGTGCTGTTTGGAGTTGTTGGAGTTAGTTGTTGTTGTTGTTTATTTAGCTGATGTTAAAACTGAGTTTGGGGCATGTAAAAAGTTTTTTACAGCCTTGTAGCTGAGGTTCTGCTGTTAAATTTGATGGACAACATCACTATATTCTTCTGATCAGTGTATTGATACACACCAGGCCAATTGGGGGACTTTAGGGTTCTTAAACATGAATTAAAACATGTTCAAATCAAAACATTCGCCTCTTACCCAATGCCAGCTGGGATAGGCTCCAGCCCCCCCATTCCTGACAGGGCGGGTCTAGATTCCATTGCAAACATTCATTCCATTGCATGAGATGGCACTTAAATAGAGTAATGGCAGCCTAGAGTAGAAGTTGACCGATTTAAACTACTGTTACCGGCAAACTTGGCTCTAATAGTGATTGAATGAATTATCCTCTGTAATTAGAAGTAAGATAAAGAAATTTACGGTGCTGAAAAAAATCTAGCCTTTATTTAAGTCATTGTTTCATAACAATTCATAATGAAGATAACATTAAATGGAACAGTGACATTGGAACAGATTAATCTCCATCACAATATGAAAATGTGTGTGTGTGTGTGTGTGTGTGTGTGTGTGTGTGTGTGTAATCAAAAACTCCTGGGAACATAGGGACTGTAACATGTTTGCAATGCTGACTGTTGCTGACTTATTA